AAAAGAAGAAGAAGAAGAAGAAGAAGAAGAAGAAGAAGAAGAAGAAGAAGAAGAAGAAGAAGAAGAAGAAGAAGAAGAAGAAGAAGAATTAATAATAATAATGATAGTATTATACTACACATGTCTAGTGCATTTCTTTATTCTATAGCATGCTCTATGCGTTTGACATCCAGTACAAAGATAATATGATGACATGGCACTATATACAACAATATGGTATGCCTATGTATCTAACAGACAGTAGGCTACAATGAGACTATAGCTAAAATAGAAATGAGAACATTATAATACATTTTGCAAACAAATAAAAGGTGGAAAGAATAGATCTTTAAACAAAAAGAGAATATAAAAATATTTACTTCATTGAGAACAATTTGCTATTTACATTTTGATTCTTTTTTTGTCTTGATATAATAATATTATTACGTTAACACTTCCAATAATTGACATTTCTGAAATAATCCAGAGAACAAAACCCGTGCTCATCTGATGCGACATTTTCGTAAAAGTACAAAAATGATTTTTTTTTAAAATGACACAATACTCTAAAAAAACACCAAAAAACAACCAAAAAGCAATTTCACCTTATTTCAAATGAAATGGAAGAAAGTAAAGGACAGCTTTTATTTTAATTTATGCAGCAAAACAGAAGACTTTTCAGATATCCATAGCATTGCAACGTAGGATTCAGAAAGATACATATCTGTTTCAGCTGTTTCAGAAACACCAGCCCCATGAGAAAGAAGTGAGGAGTGGAAAGTTCTACACACAGCCAGCGGTACAACACCGAGAAACAGAGATAGGACATGCAGTTCAGAACAGTTTTGTGCCAATAACCCAACAGTTAAAGTAATAGATGTGACATGCGGAAATGCAATACAGAAATTAATGCCCATATTCCAACTGTTAAAGTTAGATTTAGGACATGCAACACGTAGGTTAAAGCCTTTAATCCCACCGTTAAAGTAACATATAGAACATGAAATACAAAATGTTTTTATGCCCATAATCCAACTGTAAAAGTAACATAAAGGACATGAAATACATAAGTTAAAGCCCATAATCCAACTGTAAAAGTAACAGATAGGACATGAAATACATAAGTTAAAGCCCATAATCCAACTGTTGAAGAAACATAATGTAGGACATGCAGCACATAAGTTAATGCCCATAATCCAACCATTAACAGATAGGACATGTAATACATAATTTTTAGTTAATGCCCTTAATCCAACCGCTAAGGTAAGAGATAGGACATGCAATACAAAACATTCTGCCCATAATATCCACCTACTGTTAAAGTAACAAAGAACATACAATACAAAATATCGTGCCCGTAATCCAATCTTTAAAGGACCAGAGAGCTTTGTACCTACTATGTAACACTGCCAATATTAGTGAGCTCTTGTCGAGACAACACAGCAAGGGTTTAAAACAATAATCTTTGAGGTTAAGCTAACAAATTTTTCTGGGAGGTTGTGAGATCCAGCAGTTTCCTTCACCTCAATGAGGCAGACACACAGAGGTCTGAGAAAATTTAATCGTAAAATGTAGAGAGAGTCCGATTCAAAACAGCATTTATAACTAGAGCCTTCAGCAAAAAGGATACCGCAAATAGAACCGCCTGGTTCATTGGGACTTTGTTCATCTGTCAATTAATTGTCTGTTCTGACGAATTTGGCTCATGTAGTTTCAAAATATTTTTTTATTTGGCTTATATTTCTACAGATTTTGCCTTTTGTGGATAACAGAATTTTCCATGTTAATTTCATAATAAAAACAATATATAGCTTTTGTATAGCGCATATCCATGCTCGACAGCAAGCTCTCTAGGTGCGTTATATACTATACATTTTGTATTATTACCCCAGCAGACAATAGAATACTCAGAAACATTCTCAGCTTCCCAGGAAGCATACAATGCAAGCAGCTGATTAAGCGCTCAAACACTAACAAACTAACAAGATCTTTCACTGCCTATAGCTGGGTACCCAGTCCCACCTCGGTAAAGGGAAAAAAATTTGTGTGACATGTCTTTCCCGAGGTCACAACGTTGGGCCCCGGACAGGATTCGAACCCACGACTTTCGGTTGCGAGTCTGAGAGCTTAGCCACTAAGCCACCAACGTCACTTTTGAGAGTATTCCCCCCTTATTATAGCACACGAGGTGAAATCTTGATTTGAAAAACATGCATTGCTTGATCTCTGTGACAGAATGGTATGGGCGGGGCTGAGAGAGTAAAACAAAGTGCTGAGCGAAGATTGACGTCAAGAAATCACTGAGCGAAGATTGACGTCAAGAAATCACTGAGCGAGGATTGACGTCAAGAAATCACTGAGCGAGGATTGACGTCAAGAAATCACTGAGCGAGGATTGACGTCAAAAAATCACTGAGCGAGGATTGACGTCAAGAAATCACTGAGCGAGGACTGACGTCAAGAAATCACTGAGCTGTGAGTTTGTTTTGTTGGAGATTTTCTAATGGCAGGGCAGTCTTCACCAATAGAACATTTGTGAGGCAGCGTGGTGGAATCAGGCTCTCGTCAATTTTTGGGCATGTAGAGTTATTGGTATCATCTTAAAGC